TGGAGGTCACCCGACGGACTCATATTATCTTACGATTCGAGAGGAAAGCAAATCAGTATTCATGTGTTTTTAGTACCTATATAATAGAGATAGTTTGCCGATCTCCATATTGAAAACGGTTCAATTCTGAGAATTTTAGCAAATAAAATATTAGTAGGTTATGATAGGATGAAGCTATTTAAGATGTTTCAGGCAAATTTAATAATTTGATAAAAAGTGGTCTGTACGACGGACTAACTCTTTATATCCTACCAAAAACGTAATCGTGGGCCCATACTGAATCCTGTTAATTAACAGATGCGAGCCCCTTTTCCTCGTGATCGCTATTTATCCCGTCCTAAAAATAGAAGAAGAAGAAGAGGGAGGTGAAATAAGAAGAAGAAAGATGCCGAAGAATGGAGCTGTTGATGATGCGGATGGTGAAAGTGGACAAATAAAGAAACTTCCAAGGCCATCCCGACCGGAGCTCGCTGTCCCAGCTCCCGGCGAAGTCTTTTCTGTTTCGGCAACTCTGTAATTATGTCATTACTATTTTCTTATGCCTCGTAGCCGTTTCCTTTTATTACATTATTGTTTCAACTTGATTCATTGCTGCCCTCTTTATAGCTGTTTTAGTACTATTATTACTATCACCGCATTCCTTTATCGAACGATCCATACCTAGTTTGAAATGTCAACGCAAATGATGATGATTAGAGACCATAGAGGTTCGACGCCGATTACACAATTGTTCAATCTCGCTATAACATAAATGTACAAGACCAGATGCGGCACTACTCTCTCGGATTCCTTCCATTAAATCATTAATTTTATTTTCAATGGCATTCGACCAGCGGTTTGCATGTAGTGATAACTCACCTTTCCCACACTATATGTAATAGGATAGCATAGATAAATCCCTTCCTGCCGTTCATGTGTGATGGATTTCGATGATTAAGGTATCAAACGAAAGGGAATCTCGTGGAGAAGTGACGGATTCCTATTTTAAAACGTAAAACATAACTACAACTACAATTATTTATTTAATAATATTCACTTATCATTTTTTTGTAAATAATAAAAATGCTGGTTGTTCAGTTACTTTTTCAAGATAATTTTTGTTCTCAAATTTCATGGCTCAAGGTCCTATCCTTTACACAGTTTAAACAGCTGAAATTCCAACCCATCCTAACACTGTCATCCCCACCTATGCCGATGACACGTGTATCCTACGATCCATCAATTGCATCCCAAACTCTCCTATCACACATCACAAGTCTTGAAGAATGGTGTCAAAACTGGAGGATTAAAATAAACTCCAATAAATCCCATCGAATTATCTTTACCATGCGTCGCAAACCTATGACCTCCTGTCCTACAGTATTCTTTAACCATTCCCCACTTATCCCAGTTGAACAAATTAGATACCTTGGACTCCACTTAGACAAACGACTCATATGGAATCCTCATACAAGACTGAAATGACAAGAAACCGCTCGACGTTTCCGACTACTCCAACATTTACTAGACAAACGCTCTAAGCGTTTAATCAATTACAAACGACTCGTATATATGACAATAATAAGACCTATTTGTACTTACGGAATTGAGCTCTGGGGCTCCACTAAACCATCGAATTCCTCTCGTATCCAATCCTTACAATCCAAAATCCTTCGTAAAATCCTCAACGCTCCTTACTTTGTCACAAACAAAATCATCCATAAAGACCTTAATATTCAATATGTTTCCGATTTGGCCCAGTCCAATAGATACCTATCCTTCCATAACAAACTGCAGAACCATCCGAACCCTCTTGTTTGGAACCTTGCTTCCTCCTCGATCCCTGATAACCCTCCGAGGCGTCTGAAAAGAAGATGGCCTCGGGATCTTCTAATATAGAACTTTAATTTGAGTTCTACCAATGGGTAGTTTCTCTTCATGTTTTACATGTCATGATACCAATTTCACATTTACTTGTTGTATTTTTAATGTAATACAGTTGTAATTTTCATTAAAATAAAAAAAAAAACCTTCCATGGAACCGCTGATGGTATTAAGATTGTCATTTATTATCACATGTTTAGATTAAAAAAGAATAATATATATCAATTTGTGACATTCTTCGATGAACTAAAAATCTATTTTATCAATAGTTAATTATTAGTAATTAATACATTGTTGAGTCTTTTTTTCTTCCAAAAATCCTTTGCAATGCAAGCCACCTCCCTCTGGAATTCCATCCCTGCTGATATTCGACACGCTCAATCAGTTTCCTCTTTGAAACCTCTCCTCTTTAAACACCTATTCCTTTCTCAATCCGACTGATTGCGAAATATACTTAAGAGAAATATTTAAGCACCCCCCAGAGGCTACCTCAATTTATTTAGGTTATTTTTAGTATCTCATATATGTACAATTTTCTTGTTCTTTTCTTTCTCTTCTTCAGTAATTTTAGTTTTAGTCAACTCTTATTGTAAATATATAATCCAATTGTAACCACACAGACATACAATCTGTATTTATAATTTGTTCTAAAGGGACAGCAGTCCCAGAATAATAAAATATTTTTTTCATTTCATTTCATTTCAAAAATCATAATACGTAATAATTCTTTTATTAGTATTGGAAAATTTTATAATTTAGTTATATCAACATATATTTTTGTAACGTTTCGACCACTTTGGTCATTTTCTAACATATCTTTACACACTTTATTTATCACCTGTCTAAAATTTTCTGCAAACTTTATTTTTCGATAACATCTAGACAACAAAAAAAAATTTCGTCAGTCAGGATTTATGTTGGTGGTTATTTTTTCTTTCTAAATACAGAGAAAAATATAATTTTGTTACTGTCTACATTTTCTAAAATATTTTTTGAATAAATAGCAATATTATTAATTTACGAAAATTATATAATTGTTTTTTAATTAATTCATTTTTGGCCAAATTTATTTATTTTTTAAATTACTAATTAATTTCTATTTACCTTATTTTATATGTATACGTAAATAACCTTTTATCATTTAGGATCTGCACCAATTTCAAATGTTGTACTACATACCACATTTTCCATACATAGATAATATATATAAAAAATGAGTTACCATTTGTAAGATGAAAAAAAATATAAAGCTCTATGAGTTCTTTGCCACTTCGGTTGGTATAAAAAGAAGCTTTTTAATATTTTTAGTTATTTTTTTATTTAAACTTATTTATTGAGAAATATTACAATCTCTCTCAATTGAGGACATTTATAGTGAATAGTGCTTAGAGAGCACATTCACTCTATTTTTTAATAAATAAAAAGAAATGGTTCAAATAAAGTTATGGTTCCAATACTCTCAGTAACAGACTTGTGTACTATTAGTTAGTGATTGAGCTACAAACCTAGGTTTTCCTGCACCAAACTAATAAGTCTTGAGCAAATACTATAATGGAATATATATTTAAGTTCTGGTAGCTGTGTCTTGGTTAACTATTCACCTGGATGGACTTTTGGACTGGATGGACTGAATAAAGAAGCATAAAAAATTGCTTTCTTTAACTTTTTGTTTTCCTCCTAAAGAACTATTAGAAACTTCTGTTCTTACTCAAACCACACACACAGTTTGTTTCCAGAGACAGTGGAAATAAAATATAAATTCTATTCCGCAGTGGATTAGAAAGCCACTATAAAGACGGACGATTTCCAGGGAACGACGTCCACAGACCGCAAGCACACGCAAATGGTAATCCGTCTCTTGGTGGTAGAGCGTTTTTTCTCTAGGCAACGGCAGTATAACTTTAAACCAACAAGCAGCTATTCTATTTTTTTTTTTATATGTTTGTTATCTTATTTTATTGCAAAGCTTACTTTATGGAAAGTAAATAGCCGTTTGTACGGGCGGTGGTTATATCCAATCTGATTTGGAATGTTTTTTCGATATGGGGAACACAGGCAATGTTTTATTGAAGCTGATTGAATTTTGGATTTTTATTTATGTATACTTATATCTATACATTGTGTATAGAATACTTATAAATTGCGATAAATTGCTCGATTATTATGACCGTAGAATTCCTACTAATGACATGAGCATTCTTTCGCTTGTATAATATTTTTTTACATAATCCAATATTCTAATTTCTAAATTAATATTTTATATAAACTAGGTGAAGCTTACTTTGAAGATTTAAATTTACATTCCTAAATATATAGTTTATTTATTAATTTTTTTATTTAAAAAATACTATATTAGGTAATTTATCATTGTCAATAGATCATATGCTATGTATTGATTAAATGATTTTGGAGTTATTCTTACGGTATTATATAAAGTTGCATATTCACTCCTGTTAAATACCATATAATACTGGATTTCGATACCATCATTAAATGTTATTAGTATAAATAAGCTGTTGCTTTAATAAGTGTTACTTCAAGTAGCACTTAAAACAATTTTTTAGTATTATTATTTACTACAAGTAAATAATAATATTAAAAAATAAGTAAGTAGTCCAAGTAGTTCTTTTTATAACGTCAGCTTCAGGTATCATCACCAGATCCTAAAGACTGATGAAGGCACCTGTTGATTAAACTTGTTGGATTGCCTCCTTAACAGAGCATTACTTACAACTCTGCCGTTTCATTCCAAGTGGCAAGGAAAAAGTAAAATAAATAAAAGTTCTAAAGGTCAATTGTCACGATTAGAGCTGCATAAATAAGCGAATGGTCAATATTCGAAAAATGTATGGAGATCGAAAAAAACGCTGAGATTATGAATCTTTACAATTTCCTTGATATCGTTCGTTTAATCAAGGCTGGACGTCTAAGATGGGCAGGGTATTTTTTTTTTTTGTTTCATTATGTATTAAACTATGTTTGAACTTGTCCCTTAGCAATCTGCAATACTGTAGATGTTAGTCAAATAAATTTAATACATGATGATTTCTTGCATGGTTGTCCATATCATAACTAAACCAAAATTCCATGTTAAAAATAGGATAAAACTGAGAAATTACTTCTCTAAGATCTCAGCGTTAGAATAACTTTCGTCGATGACACTGCTTTCTAGTACTCGCTACTAGCTCGAACGATGGCCACTCGCCACTGTTCGAAGACCGGGTGCTAAGACCAAGATATGGGCGGGCTGGTATACTCGTAGAGGAGGGAATGCGACCGTCCCAGACCGGTCCTCGACTTCCTTTTTCATTCCGTCCGATCTTGACATTCCTCCTCCACCGGCCCATCCGGATATGTCGGGGCTGTGAGATACCAACTCCGGGGTCTTCGGTCTGTGTGTCATAGCTTTCTGGTTCGTGGGACATCTCCAGGTCCAAACTGAAATAACATACCATGGTTTCTCCTTTAGTACTAGGCAGATTTCAACCCAACATATGCAGTCGCTATGACGATATATTTCGGATTTGCTTTTCCTCTTGAGATAAAAGTTTTGACTGTCAAAAAAAAAACAGGACCTCGATTATGACCTTATTGTTCAGATCTCTAAAGAATATAAATAAGTAAAAACAAGATTATGAAATAATAAAACTGGAATAAAAGTAATGTAATATAAAAACTATATATGACCAACATAAACAGAAAACAAAATTAAAGCATCAGTTGAAGCCACGAATAATATACTGGTGAGATGTAAACTAGGTTTTTATAGAAATAAACATAAGCATCATGTAGCTATAAAAGAAAAGTTGTTTTAGTTTTATTTTGTACATGTGCTTCTAATATAGTTTCTAAGAATTTATAACTGAATATATATTTTTTATTGCATTCATGGCATATCATTATTGGTTGTGATGGAGCAATTATTGACTGCATATAAGATGGCTGATATGTTAGTTATTGCTTTCAAATCACGATGAGAAACGTAAATAAAGGTTTTTAAAATAATAATTGTAGGTTTATGGTTGACTCTAGTGAATAATTGGAGAGAAGGATGGTTGGGGTGTTCAGTCAAATTGAAATGGTAAAAAATAAAATTATTTATTTTTTTAAATATTATTTAAAATATAAAAATAAAATAAAATGGTAAAAATAAATAAAATTATTTATTTTTAACCATTTCAATTTGACTGAACACTCCAACCATCATTCTCTTCAATTTTAAAAAAATAATTAACAAAATATATGTGATCTGCTAATAAATAAATACAAAGAAGATAATAAAAATCATGTAGTTCAAGTTAAAAGTTCATATACCTAAGTATATGTACATTATATTTGCATGACATAAGAGTATGACATGAAAATATAAGATTGAATTAGATTAGTATATATAAGTAGCAACAACTTAAATTAATAAGTAATGAAAGGAAAATATGTATATATATATATATTTATATCCTTTTATAATAGGTTAGTAATAAAATAATTTTGTTTAACTGTGGTCTTGTATATATTTTCATTTGTTTGTTTTTTAATTAAAATTTTTATTTTATTTAACCACAATTTTATTATTACTTGGTTCTATTATTATTTTAATATATTATTATTATTATTTTTGTATTTATTGCATTGAGGATAGCTATGGAACGCTTAAAGTTTTCGTTAGTTTTGTATGGATAAGTATTCTGTTTTTTATAAAAATGTATTACCAACATTTGAGCCACCCGTTCTTTTTTAGAATATGATAATATATATTGAAAAAAAAAATATCGTAGATTTTTCGACAAATTTAATCGTACACTTAAGAACCGCTTTGTTCGGGTTACACGAGGAGTCCTGAAGATGACAACCCATTCGCTGAACTGGGACAAACTGAAAAAAATAAAGTACAAACAACTTCAATACCAGTTTCTTAAGTTGTTTAGAGTATAATTAAATTTTCACATATTTTATGTGTACTGTAATCGGGATATTGATATGTTTAATAGTTTTGTAAATATTAATAAAACAAATTGACACTTGTTTTTTTTTTACAGGTAAGTGTTGAGGATTTTGCAGTGTTAGTGAGTAGAAAATCAGCTATAATACGATTAAAAATTGAAATTAAAAAAAATCTTATTGAGTTCCTTAACCTCCTATAAAATAATTCCAATAAGAAAGTTTTTTAATTATTTACACATATAATTTTGAATCTGATGGAACATAAATTCCCGAATTATGGCACAGTAAGTTTTGAACACGCTACAGTTTTTAAATCGAATTTAAATTTTTATATTTATCTTGCTTGATTTATTTATCTGCAGTTAACAACATAAATAATCCCGTTCATGGCAGGAAAGTGAGCGTAAAAATCCATTGGTATGCGGTAATAGTTGTATTAGTATGGCTGCTATAACATATACTGCTTTTAGCATATCAACAATTTATCATTAGATACATTAACATATGTTTATTAAACTATTTAAATTAAATATGCATTCTGAATGATGTGAGAGCCATGTTTTCTAATTAGTTAGAATAATTTTGCGTGGTCGTGACAATAATGTGAATGAGTGAGTAAAAAAATTGAAGGTAATAAATGTGAGTGAGTGAGAGTTTATTTTAATTTTTACTGTGGTTTTCTACGAGTAATAATTATAAATAACAGTATTTTACTGTATTAGGAATGTTTAAATCCCAAGCTGAGTTTAGCGACTGACAGTTTCGAAAAAAAAATTACAAAAATTTAATTGAATTTGAATTTCGGAACTCACATGTACCCTCTTCCCTCTCTCCCTCCCCAAAAAAAAATCATATATACTGTCAGTGTATTCAAAACGCGCGGGGTTTTAAAGTTGGAGAATCGAGTGCTTATTTAGAATTAGTGTTGCCCAAATGCAAGACCAAGGCGAGTCTTGTTCTTGATCTTCGTCTTGCGCAAGAGTCTCGCGACAGTCTTGCAATTACCTACCTATTAGCTTATTACTATAGAGATATTACTGGAATTTTTTAGATAGGACAGACCTAACTAACCCCGAATAAAAAATTAGAAGAGTTAAATGCAAAAATATGTTAGTTATACCAATTTTTTGCATATAGTAACTAAAATTTCAAGTATTAGTAACTATTTTGCCTTAATTTTTATTCAAAAATAATTTTTTTTTACCAGTCTTGGTCTTGTGTTGCATCACGAAGGCTGTCTTGTAGGCAAAGTGCAAGACCAAGACCGATTTTGGACAACACTATTTAGAATCAATACACTTCATAATTCGACCGCTCAGAGCTTTGTTATACTTAACTCACCCTCCAAATTGGTCAACTTTACACATTAACTGTACTTTCGCCTTAAGTATTAATCCAAGAAATCTTTTTTCAGTCACAGTTTCTGTTAAGTGATATCAATTTTTATTTTCTAATATTTACAGAAGCGGAGATATTACGATTTATAAATGATATCAAATGCGTCTAGAAATTTTCCTGTCCCAGAATTTTACAGTCTACAGATTTAGGAACGTAATTTTATATTAAAAATTAAAACATCCCTCAATTATCTTACGCTACCTCCATTAATTGAAACATTTTGACGTCCCTTGTAACAAAAAAATTAAAACAGTTGTGAAAATGAAATATGAAATAATATTCTAGGAATTTTTAATCCCTTTATATTTTACGTGTTTCTGAGCTTTGGTGGGCACATTAATGTATTATTAATTTGAATATTTTAGCAATATTATTCTATATTTGGAATTTGTTTCTCCTAATACTCCATATTGTATGGCATATAATTCACTTCATATAAACTCACAAATTTTTCAGATTTAAACCACTTAATAATAGCGATGAGTTAATTTTTATTATAATCTATTAATTTTGCATAGTTATGGATTTTGAAGATATCAGGTTAACTAAAAATTTTCCCTTTTGCTTAATTTCTTTTAGTTTACATAGTCGAAAAGCGGAGATATGCCGGTATCATTAGCTCAACAAAGGCTTTTATTTAGCCCTGGCAAAACAAAAATATTTTCCCGGCATGTATGATTTAATAATTGCGGCATGAATCATTAGGAGTTTGGGCACGGTTCTTCGGCTCTCTGCCCAGGGGACATGAGCTCGTTATGAAACACTATCTCGCCCGGCTAAGGAGGGCAACTGATGACTAAGGCATCCGGGGAACATTGGGCATCAGGGGAAATATTGCCAAATGATATAGGAAATAGTAGTTCTGAAGCGGGTAGATAAAATAGAAGTCGAGGAAAAGTATTATTAATCACACCCCAGAGTTCAATAAAGTTCAAGCGAAAATATAAAAAAACGAAAAAAAAATACAAACATGTGTCATTATCATTATTACGGTTGTACTGGTAAATATCGTTTCTCCTCTGACTCTGAAGTGTATAATTAATTATAAACTTAATAAAAATGATCCGCCATATTATGAAATGGCCACAAAAAAAACAAACTAAAACAAATACTTCATGTTGGCCGCAACAAGGTTTAAATTTAATTATTGAAAGTAAAATTCAATTAATTAAATTTGTCTGTTGAATACTCTAATTCTTAGATGAGCTGCTCTATATCACTATACATATTGTCCTTGAATGTGACAGATTATAATATATCTCAATAGAGACTATTAAAAAAAAAAAAAAAAAAAAAAGCTTTTTAGAATTTACAGAAGTAGAGGTATGAGAATTTAAAAAATATATATCAAAAATGTCTAGAAATTTTTCAGTCGTAACACTCCAGATTGAGCAATATAATTTGTTAAAAATTAAAATAACTCTCATTGAAGTAACTTTACCTTCAATCAGTGAATTTTGATAGTTTTTTTTTTTTTTGTTTAATAGAAAGGAGATGTTCCGGGTTCATGAAAAGAATAGAATAGTTGAATATTAGAAAGTAAAATAAAAACTATTTTATTTGAACCCAATGTTTCAACCCAACTTAACAGCTCTTGAAATAAAATATAAAATAAGCTTGAAATAAAATATTTTTTTTTTTACTATTTTAGTCTTCTTATGACCGCCACCTACCCCTCCCCCCCTCCTCTCCGGACCATCTAAATTGCACTATCAAAATTTTCTTGTTTACAATAACGGAACTTTTATAAGGAAAAAAAGATAAAAGATATATTTTGATGAACTATTTTTTTTTTTTTTAAACATAAGAGAAGAAAATATTATTATGTTTCTTTAAAAAAAAAAGGTTTTTGGAAATAGGCTTATTTTTAATTTTTTTTTTTTAATATGAGGATTTTTTTTTTATTAATCAATTAAAGTCTTATTTAAAACGAAATAAATTATTTGAAAATATGTTACACACTTTTAACAATAGAGTGAAATCATTTGAGACTATAACAATGCGTTAAATACATTAAAAATATCTAAACATGTCAAGTTAACTGATCACTTGTGTATTGGGAGATTTTCTAGTTTGGATTAAATAT